AAGAGAGTTTTGTAGGATATATTATTCTTGGCTAGCGATTTTTTGCTTTCAGGGTTTTATATATGTCATCCCATTGCCTTCTTGTCTGCATGGTTTTTGCCGAATAACCCGAGCTTAGTCTTACTGTTTCTCCTCTGTATGTGACTTTTTGTTTTTCTTGAGCTGCTCTCAGAATTCTCTGTCTGTCTTTGGTTTTAGTGAGTGTGATTATGATATGTGTTTTAACCATCTAGTGCTGCTATAACAGAAGTACCACTAATGGATGGCTTTAACAAAGAGAAGTTTATTCTCTCACAGTCCAGTAGGCTACCAGTCCAATTTCAGGGCATCTGCTCCAGGAAAGAGCTTTCTCTGTAGGCTCTGGAGGAAGGTCCGTGTCATCAATCTTCCCTTGGTCTGGGAGCTTCTCTGCGTAGGAACCTCAGGTCCAAAGGACATGCTCTGCTTCCGGCACTGCTTTCTTGGTTGTGTGAGGTTACCATGTGTCTTTGCTTGCTTCTGTCTTTTATACCTCAAAAGAGGTTGGCTTAAGACACTATCCAATCTTGTATACCTCATCAGTATAACTGCCGCTAATCCATCTTATTACGTCACAGTGATAGAGTTTACAACACATAAGGAAATCACATCAGATTACAGAATGGTACACAACCATACAATACTGGAAATCATGACCCAGCCAAGTTGACATATATTTTGGGGGGACACAATTCAATCCTTGACAATATGCCTTAGTGATTTTCTTTTGGACTCTGTCCTATATGGGGTTTGTTGAGCTTCTTGGATTGTCAGCTTTTTATCTTTCATTGTATTGGGGAAGTTTTCTGTCAGCAATTCTTCAATGATCCTCTCTGTGTTTTCTGTTTTCTCCCCTTGTTCTGTAACTCCAGTCACTCACAAATTTTTGCTTTTGATTGTATCTGTCATAATTCTCAAGGTTTCTTCATTTTTCTTCATTCTTTTTTCTGATTTTTCCTCAAACAGTTTTATTCAAGTGATTGTCTTCAATTTCGTTGATACTGTCTTCTGTCTTTTGAAACCTGCTCCTCAGCCCCTCTATGACACTGTCCGTTTCTGAAATCTTGTTGTTTATCTTTTGGATTTCTAATTGTTGTTTTTGTATGATTTCTAGTTAAAAATTTATTTTGTCATTTTGTTCCTGTATTATTTTCCTGTATTCCATTTTTTTGTCTATATTTTCCATGAATTTATCTGCCTTTTCCATGAATTTGTCTATTTTTTCCTCATTTTTGTCTTCTCTTTGCTTCAACTCTTGGATTGCTCTGAATATTAGGTATTTGAATTCCCTATCAGGTAATTCTAGTGCCTTTTGTTCTACTGGAAAGTCATCTGGTGTTTTATTTTGGATGCCTACTGGAACCATCTTGTCCTGTTTTTTTAATATGTTTTGGTATTGTTTGCTGCCTTTGGGGCATTCAGTAGTTATTTTCCTCGTTTATTGATTGGAGATTTGTTTATTTCATCCTGCTTTTTGGTTTTATTTGGTTATGCCTGAGCAGGCGGGCTATGCATTCTTTGTTGTTTGCTTGTCTGTAGGCATGATACTTTTCGCTTCTTTGCCCAATGGGCAGTGTCAGTCACTCAGCTATGGTGCAGCAGGGCAGGTCCAGCTGAAGGGGAGTTGCTAGGATGGGTTGTTTGTGGCACGTACTAGGGCTCATAGGGCGTGCCATGAATCAGTGCAGGGCAGGTTCCAGTAGGCTGTGCCTGTGCTTCTTGGGTGTGATGTTCAGCGCACAGTGCAGATAGGCCGGAAGGAGGGGGGAGATTGTGATGTGTGGGGCTAAAATGGGTATGGGAAAGAGGAGAGAAACAGGAGCCAAAAACAAACAAAAAAGAGTGCTAAGGAAGCGCGCCATTAGAGTGGAGAGATGAGTAACCGAGATATAAGGAAGAAATAGAAAATAAATAAATAAAAACTTTTTTTAAAAAAAAATGCCCCCAGGGATCCCACCAGCACGGCTGTGCAGACTGGGGAAGCGACTCCCAAGCTGTGCAGTAAGTACAGTCTGGCCAGAAGGATTGGAGATGATACACAGCCCCAGGTATTCAGAAGACAGGATAAGCAGGTAAGTAGAAAGAGATGAGAAACCGAGAAATGAAGAAAAATGAAAGGGAAGAAAAGAGAAAACAAAGCCGCAGGGATCCCACCAGCGTGGCCACATGGACCGGAGAAGCAGTTCCCCAGCTGAACAGCGTTTTACCACCTGTCAAGGAGAAGCAAAGATGGCACGTGAAGTCAGATGTTCAAAAGAAAGGAGAAGGAGGAGGAGGCGAGAGGCAGGGAAAAAACCATAAGAGGCTGAAAAAAGCAACAACACCAACAAAGAAATGACAGTGAAGAAGCCAGCCGGTATGGGCTGGGCAAGAATCTGTGCGACACAGAACCAGCGCCTCTCGTCCTGTGGTCGCAGTCCCCTGAGAAGCATCGACTTGGCCCTCCAGGAAGCTGGGAATTGACCTGCCGAGAATCTCTGGATCAGCCCACTTGGAAGCAGTAAATCAGCCCTCTGGGAAGCCGGGAATCCGCCTGCCAAGAAGCTGCAGATCTGCCAGACAGGAAGCGGCGAAGATTGAGCAGAGGGAGGTAGGGTGGCGGGTGGTGAAACGTGTCTTGCTTGTTATTGGGTGCTCTGTTTCCTGCTGGGAACTCCATGAATCTGCTTTGCCGTACTCCCTGTCTCCTGATATCTGTGGATCCGTGCCGCGTTAAGTGATAGAGGACCTCCGCTCGTAACTCTCTTCGCTCTCTGTTCTCTGTCAGTTTCTTATTCCATTCGGTGCTTAGTTGAGTTGTTTGTCTCTTCATTTGACGCTTAGGGTTCCAGGATTGATGTTTCTCTCTGTTTTACTTAGTTTTTTGGGTCTTTGCTGTGGCAGGATGGCATGGTGCTTTTGTCTATAGCACTATGTTTAAATACCAAAAAGTAATCTATTTTTTAAACCGACATTTAATCAAAGTTATCTGCTCTCTGCAAACTAATCTTATTAAATACATGTGTGATGGTCTTGAACCTGTTGCCATCGAGTTGATTTTGACTCATATCAATCCTATAAGACAGAGTAGAACTGCCCCATAGGGTTCCCAAGGCTGTAATCTTTACAGAAGCATACTGACACATCTTTCTTCTGCAGAGTGGCTGGTGAATTCGACCCACCAACCTTTTGGTTAGCAGCCGAGCACTTAAGCATTATCCCACCAGGGCTCTTTTGTGTGATGGTACAAGACTAAAATAAGAATTAATGATTCTGCTTTCTTAATTATTATCCTTTGCATGGTGCTTTGTAGTATGTAAATCATTTCCACGTTTTTTTCATTTGATCTACAAATGAGATTAGTGATGTGATCCTTATTTTACAGATGAGGCAATTAAAACAAAAACTTTGTGGCTTGATGAGATGACAACTAATAAGCAGTATTTTATTCCAGATATTCAGAGACTCCAAATCCAGTGATCTTTCCATTACCCGTATACTAGATCTTATGTTCCCATTCCCTTATTTTTTTAAGTTCAGGTAAATATTAGAACTATTTGTGGACCACCGCTGCCAAAACACAATACGGGCAGTATTTCGTTCTGTTGTACCTAGAGTTGCTATGTGTCAGAACTGACTCAGCAGCACCTAATAATAACACTGCCAAAATCAAAGAGGGGAGATATCATTATACTCTCTATGTTTCAACAAATGATGTGTCTTCTATTCTGACCTATATAGCTGGATTGATACAAGAGAGTCTTTGGGGCTGATCCTAACTAATATTCACTCATTATCATTCCAGAAAAAAGTAAGCTTATTTTCCATGCAGTTTGGCAGAAACATGTATTCAGCTTTACTATATATTTCAAAAATATGGGAGTAAATTACTGTGGTACGCCAGTGCTTTTCAGATTAGTGTAGCTGCCTCACATGATAATGATTTTATGTATTTGAGGTTCAGCATATGAATGTGTTGGGAAAAGAAATCGAGGGGAGTTTCTTTTGCATGGAGTAAGTTTGAAAATCACTGTCTATAGCCAGTACAGTTAGAATGACATTGTTATTATACTTTTCATAAAATTGCTTTAGCAGAAAAGTGTTTTTGTTTTCCAGAAACCGTATAATTTATTACAGCAGTTAAATTATAAAGAACAGACAGTATTGTGGGAAAAAAAATCTGTGTATGTGTTGAATAATATAACTTATTGTTTATCTCCTTTTTATTCTAACTCTTGTGACAAAGTCTCTGAACAATTATAATAAAAATCTGATCTGGCTTATTATCTATGGATTTCTACTTGTTTTCTTGGGTATTACTTCATTTTCTCAAATCTGTGACCTTTTCTGGTCCTTTCCTCCATTTCCCTGGTTGTATGTTGCTTTTCGTGATGTGCAAAATTTATTCCTTTCTTCCCCATATCTCCTTGTTTGTTCTGATTTCTTTCAGAGCTAAAATGAAAAATAGGATTAATGAACAATGATAAATTACATGTTTCAGAATGCTGAAAAAACAAGCCAGTTGCTGTCAAGTTGGTTCCAACTCATGGTGACCCCATGTGTGGCAGAGTAGAACTGTACTTCATAGGGTTTTCAATGGCTGTGGTCTTTCAGAAGTAGATCACCAGGCCTTTCTTCAAGGCACCTCTCGGTGGATTTGAATCACCAACTCTTTAGTTAGTAGCCAAGTGCTTAACTGTGCCACTCAGGGACTCCTTCAGAAGGCTAGATGATACCTAAAATCCTGTTGTTGGAAAGTTATTCATTTATAACCAGTTCATTATTCCCAGTTTGTCCCATAATAGTGCAAAATTACTCTCGTTTTAGCCTTCTGTGTTTATTCCTGTTCTTGATGTCATCAGTTAGATTTTAAAGTTAGGCCATTTCTCCTTACTGTTAGTTAGTTTTATTTTTATATAAGCCATTGAGGTTGTGGAGAGTGGTATTTTTATCTGTTTTAATAAAGTTAGTGAATTTAATGAGTATTTTTCCCTCTTTTAAAGACTGTGAACCAGAAGAGCTGACTGACTGGTCTATGGATGAAAAATGTTCATTTTGTAACCTACAGAGAGAAGCAGTCAGTGTAAGTTATAGTACTATGAAATTATTTCTAAATTAATTGCACAATTGTAACACAGTTCTTGTATTTTTAACTTAATTTGTTATGAAAATTTGTGATTAAACAGTGAAAGTCTAAGTACATGATACTGGTAATGAGAAGAATATGTTAAAGTCTAATGGTAGAAGTGTAACATTTAGCTTAACTCACAACTGAGGATTCCAGAAAACTCATCTTTTTTTGCTTATTTCATATTTCTTTCTTATAGTTCCCTGATTCATGAAGTTCAGTTTTGGTCTGTTCTGTATGTAGGTATAGCCTAGGGTGGGATTGGAGGCCTAGTTTGGTCTAAGATCACGTTAGAGTCCGATTTCTTAGGGATAAATTAGTAGGGGGATGATGTACTACTATTTTTTAGCCTTTCACTTACTCTTGAAGTCTTTTGGACATCAGAATTATTTCTTGTGTAAATTATTAAATGTCTACTATATACATGACATATGCTATGCAAGCAGCATCTTGTATGATAGGAAATCCTGATTCCTTTTATACTTTTGTGAGAAGGGCCAAGAAGAAAGGAGAACTCGAGAACTACATCCAGTTTGGTCAAATTAGTTGGTAGACTTATCTGCTTTGTTAAAAGTCTCTGAAAGGATTACGTTACTGACATACCAGATAGTATGTCCTACCTGTGGTAGGAGCCCTGGTGGTACACTGGTTAAGAGCTTGGCTGCTAAACAAAAGGTCAGCAGTTCGAATCCACCAACTGCTCCTTGGAAACCCGTTGGGGCAGTTCTACTCTGTCCCGTAGGGTGGCTATGAGTGCGAATCATAGCGATCTGCTCCTCCCTTTTTTTTTCTTTTTTCTTTTGACTGTTCTTTTGCTAAGGAGTAAAGCTAATTTGATTCTCTTATCGGAGCTGAAAAAAAATTTTTTTCCTGTCTCTTGTCCCAAATTTTATGTTCTGTCTATATAACTTGATAAATTTAAAAAGTTGGACAAATGAGCACTTAATTTCTTTTTGCCATTTTTAATGGAATTCCACTTTAAGTGATTTGTGTTCTATTATTTTTTACTAATTTTAGGATTGTATACCATCTCTTGATTCTTCACAGTCAACACCAACAGAGGAGCTATCATCTCAGGGCCAGTCCAACACTGATAAGATTGAATGCCAAGCAGAAAGTTACCTAAATGCACTCTTTCGAAAGAAAGGTAATATTAGCATGCTTTGTCATTTAAAATTTGCAATAGAGAACTAAAATGTTTAAATTTTTCTTGCACAGAAATATTTTATATGTAAATTGTACTTTGTTTCAGATTATTTCCATCTTTGTCTGTAATTTTTCTTCGTATTTTTAGAGACAGTAGGAATCTCAGTCATTGTAGTGCTAGTCTTCTAGTGATCATTCCTTTTCTTAACTCTGTTCTCAAATCTCTCTGACTCTGTTATACATTTTACTTGCCTACTTTAGGCACCTGTAAAATGTTACTTATGCTTCTAGTCTTCCTTATTCTGTTCTTCCCAAAGCTTAAAAAATGCTTTCAAGTTCAGTAAGTAACGGATATGCAGGCATGGATAATTTCATTTGTTTGTCATACAGTGTTTGTTGGCGGGCCCTTCACAGATCTCCACAAGTGTTTTTCATCTTGAAATAATACTTAACACTTATGCACTCTCTGTTCATTGGACTACGAGTGGTCTACTGTTGATACCCGATGGGGCTGACAGTAGGCTCAAAGAGCATGATACAGATACAAGGGTATGCTCAATCTGAAGGCACATTTTGGTTCGGTTCGAGCAGGACCACATAATGTCACGAGTCACGTGATTATAATTTATCTTCTTTTGTTCAGCTCTTTTCCTTCATCATTTATTCCATTTGCTTTAGCCTAGGAAACTCTATGGGGCAATTCTGTTCTGTCCTATCGGGTCAGTATGAGTTGGAATGACTCGATGGCACACAAAAACAGTAGAGTCCTCATTCTTTCCCTTCCCCCATCAGTTGTCTTCTCTTAGAAAATTTTTTTCCTCTCTTTTCTGTCCTACTCATCTTTCTTCCTCCAGTCAAACAGTACAATGCATCAAATAGGACAATGTTAATTTATTCACAGTCTTCTCATTTGGAAAAAAGAAACATAAGGAGAGTTCACATATTTTCTACTTTCCAAGAATAAGACCTGATATGAAATGGCAAATCACACTGGTGCTTTGATTCAGCATGAATTAAAGCAATCTGAAACAGATGATCACATGTCGATGACAATTATGGTACTACTTGGCGGGAGGAAGTGAAGAGAGATTTTAGCCTGGTAGCATTTAATAGCTGCCCAGATAGGTTCTACAAGGAATGGGAAGAGCAAGAAGAATCAAGTACTTGCATACCACTAATGAAACAGTTGCATCATGCTGTTGGGGAATCTCAATTGCTAAGATAGAATACCTGTCAGCACACCTTTGTTTCTCAAAGAAGTCTGGTTTGCAAGTACTCACTTTTGAGAATAAATCTTCAAACGTACTTTTCTGTAAGTTTAAAAATGAAGCCGTTTTCTATTATGAATCCCTTGATCCAAGAGTTTGTTTTGGCACGCTGAAGATTATGCAAAACTTATTGATGAAGCAATATTTTCATTTAAAGCACTCTTTAAGAAGGGTTTTAAAAAATAAAAAGCCCTCCAAAATGTCAACTACTTCGGGTTGGATTTTTCATGATGATTTCTGCTCAAACAAAACTGTGGTGCATATAAAAATGTGACAGATTTTTCTTTTGAAAATTTAGGATGATTAGAATTTATATGTAGCTATGAAATGCTGCTTGTTTTCACAGAAATACATTGAACAACTTTTGCATTTGTATAAACTGATTTAATTTAAAAATGTACTATTTAAGATGAATACCTGTCTTAGTTATCTAGTACTGGTGTAACAGAAATACCACAAGTGGGTGATTTGAAGGAACAGAAATTTATTTTCTCACAGCTTAGGAGGCTAGCAGTACAGATTCATGGTGCTGGATCTCAGGGAAGGCTTTGTCCCTGTGTTCACTCTGGGGCAAGGTCCTTGTCTCTTTTTAGCTTCTGTTCTTTGACGATTATGTGGCCTGTATATTCTCCTCTGTTTCTGCTTGCTTGCTTCCTTAATCTGCTCTTTTATGTCTCAGAAGAGACTCATTAAAGACATACACTACAATGTTATCGTCTCATTAATATAACAAAGAAAACTCATTCCAAATGGGATTATAACCATAGGTAATAAAAAAAAAATACCCATTGCCTTCGAGTTGATTTGCACTCGTAGCGACCCTGTAGGACAGAGTAGAACTGCCCCAAAGGGTTTCCAAGGAGCGGTTGGTGGATTCGAACTGCTGACCTTTCGTTTAGCAGCCAAGCTCTTAACCAGTGTACCACCAGGGCTCCTACCATAGGTACAGAGGTTAAGATTATAGCACATATTTTGTGGGGACACAATTTAATCCATCATAATACCTTGTCATAAAATATGTCTTTTAGTCAGCAGTATCTCACACATAAAAATTCAGCTAACGTTTTGAGGACCTCATGTTTGTCAAGTGCTACACACTGTTATTGCCGTCCAGTCAATTCCAACTCATAGGGACCCTATAGGACAGAGTAGAACTGCCCCATGGGGTTTCCAAGGCTGTAATCTTTCCTGAAGGCTGACTGTCACATCTTTCTCCTATGGAGCAGCTGGTGGGTTTGTACCATCAACCTTTTGTTTAGCAGCCGAGTACTTAACATTGTACCACCAGAGCTCCTTTGTTACCTGGGAATTGAGAGATAAGACACAGAATCTGCTCTTTTGGTCATGGTGTACAGCATTTGTTGTACACCATTTGTTGTACACCATTTGATTACCTTCCTTTTGGAAACTATATCTTTTTTTTTAACGTTGTGGTTTAGTTGAAAGTTTACAGAGCAATGTAATTTCTCATTCAAAAATTATACATAGATTGTTTCATAACATTGGTTGCAATCCCCACAATGTGTCAAAACTCTCCCCCTTTCCACCCCGGGTTCCCCATTTCCATTTGTCCAGTTTTCTTGCCCCTTTCTGCCTTCTCATCTTTGCTTTTGGGCAGGTGTTCCCTTTTATTTATTTTAAATTGACTTTTAAAAATGTCTTTTTATCAAAGTAATACATGCATAGGATTTTAGAATAAACTAGCACAGAGCAGCTTATTATGAAAAGAAGATAGGCAGCTGTCTCAGCCTTCCTCAATCCCAGTCCTGTTCCCCATAATAAACGGCAGGTAGTCCACTATTTACGGCAAGGTTCCTTTCCAATGACTCCATCGGAAGTTGCTTCTGACAGTCGAATAGCTTATTTTTTCTTTTCTTTTTTAATTTTCATTATTATTGCCATTTATTATCAGTATCTTTATAAATTAGATCTTTATCTTTGGAGTTGGAAACATTACATATAAACTTACAGATATATTATAGTACATACGTATATAAAAATACACAAATCATAAAAATTGACTGATGGTGAAGAAGAGTTGGATGACGTTGACGTTTTATCAGTTGCAGTAATAACTCTACTTTTGGAAGGTTCTGGACCATCTAGATTATCCCTGGGAATAGGGATGGCGTTTCTAGTCAGAAATTTAATGATAGCTGTCTGTGTGGTCGTTTTCTTTTTTCTTCATATATTTTGCAGTAACATCTCACTGCTTCCTTAACCTGCCTGTCGACTTTAGCAAAGTGATCAGCGTTTGGGTTCATGTTTTCAAGCAACTGAAGCCCCTGATTTACTGCAGAAAAACTCCAGCTAATCCTTTCACTAAAATTTTTTGAAGTCTCTCCTTCCTCTTCCTCATTATTTCTTCTTCAAAATCCATTAAGTCCTGATCTGTCAATTCCCCTTCTTTGTGATCTATGAGTGGTTCCACATTGGCAATATCAAATTCTAAATTCAGCATTCTTGCCATATGGATGATTTTTTCACCAATCTCTTCCATCATATTATCCTGATAAAATACTTCGAGTGTATTCACTTAACTCAGCAATTTTTTCCATATCCCCTGTGTGCATTTTCCCATAACTTCTTCCCAGGAAGATATACTAACAATAAGATGCACAGAAAACAAACACAAAAAAAATCGAAGGTTGAAAGTGCCATTAATCATAACTTGAATCTGTTGTAAGTCCGAGCTACGTGTACTTTTAACTTTTTAAACTGTTTATGTTAATAAGTATTCTTGTGGTCAGTTAGGACTGCCATGTTCGATAGTACTCTGCACAACCTATGCAACTGTCCATGACGGCCCTGTATTAGCTCCCTATCTCAAAATAATATGTGTTTACTACTATTTCTTGACATCAGTTTTAGACATTATCAGATACCCATTTCATCTTCTCCTACGTCTCTAGCTATGTCACTTTTTAAATACATATTTTTATTATATTATGATTTTATGTAATATACTTTAATTTCTTGTTTCAGCATAGACAATATATTTGATTCTCCATTTTTCAGGATGCAGATTTTTAGCATCTGTATCTTTCAATTTGCACTTTCTTTCCCTCTCATAATATCCACCTTTGGTCATTTGTTCTTTTACATCAAGCTTGATAACGTCTACAATCTATTCTGTACCCATATTTAAATCTTCTATGCTTTATCTACAGATTGATCCTAAAAGTTGATAATTAAAGTTGTCTACATGTTACAACTCTGTTCACTGAATAGCCAAGTAATTTATTTGTTTATTCTTTATATTCCTGAGGTTTCTAATGTTCTTTTTGTCCTCTTGCATTATGAACCATAATAGAATCTTTTATCTTCATGGGTACTTCAAATCTCTGAATTTCCCCTCTCTGCAAAGGTCTCCTGTGTCAGCCCTCTTTTCTCCTGCTCTTCAATATGGACTGACTGCTTTCTGGGTAGATTTCCCAGGAAGTCATTCTAGCACTATCTTGGCAAAGGTTGCAGGGAGAGACAGAATTGTGAGCCAGTCACACAGTCTACCACAGGCACCATTGGCCATGGTTAACTGCCACAGATATTCCTGGATTATTTTATTTCTTTAGAGAGAAACACTCCTTCTTTGTTTTTCCAGGTAAATACCTGGTTTCTGTTAAGGATCATACACATTTTAGAAAGCAGCCCTTGTCTATTGAACAATAAAGCAGTGTATCCAGTCATGCCTTATATAAAGCAAGCACTCAGTAAATATTTGAATGAATAAGCA